AATCTCCCCACCCATTTAAAAAAAACAAACACCGACACAATAACACGCGTAGTAGAATTCATAATCAATACAAGTAGTTCTTTTATATTTCATATGAACAAAATATTCCCTCAAAATAGTTTTCGGTGATTATTTTCGACTACTTGAAAACTACTAGATCAATTACTTTGATACTTGATACAGATGGATAGACCCCTTGTCAGATTTATTCATTTTGTGATGGCATCTTCAATTCTCCATTTTCACAAAATATTTTTGTACTGGGTCCCATTATTTACATGCACGACTACCACTTTCCCATTATAGGAGTAAACACGGACTTTATTAAAAACAAAGGAAAATAAAACAATTGCCACAGATGGCAGTTAATAACCATTGGGGGGGGGGGGGGTTGAAATTCAACGTAAAAACAGGACAAAGATCACAGCATCAAAATGGGGTCAAAAAATTGCATGAATTTGCTAAACTTATTTGCAAGGCAATCTGGCCGTCGACATTATCACACAGAAAACCTAAAGTGCTTGGGGCTATACGTGGTCAGCAGAAATATTGAATTTGAGAATTTTTCGAAAAACTGTGGGCTCTCATAAAACAGTCAACAGTCTCTCAACACCCGGTTGGGAAACCCCAATACTTTTGGCTCACTGCGCATTTCGCAATCGTCAAATTGTTTATTCGTTAATGTGAACGCAAGCCTTTTTGGCGAGTAACATAAAATTAGCATACAGGAGCCTTCTCGATTCACATCTGTGCACGTGTTTACACTTTGTTTTGATTTTTGCTACAATGTGAGAGGGGGTACATTATTTACTGAAAAGTACGTAAACTATGGGGATTTTGTAGATTTCGACAAGTGATATCGTATCGATTGGAACAATATATTAAAAGAGGGACCAGAATATGTTGCTGCTGAAAGTGAACAGTCGCGACAACTTTCGTGAAATGTCTTCCTCTGTATTTACTAACATTTAATACTATGCAAAGAAATACAAGAATAATTGACAGGTTGGCTGGCAATTTTATTATGAATTCTAGAAGTGTACACAATTGAACAATCCTGTCAAATACAGTGGCTAAACACACATCACAGAAATTTACCCCCATTTCCCCCTCCCCAAAGTTTTTCTTTAATCGTATATATAGTAGGAAATAATCTGAATGGAATCGTTTCAAGTACTAGAATCTCCTTATTACACCAATTACATGGGAGGTTGAAGCCATTACAAAAACAAGGGGGTGATAAGACAATTGTCCAACCACACATTTATAAAATGTCTGGTTTCTTCCAACACTGTCTGAGGTCATACAAAATTTGTTGTTGATATAAATTATTTCACAAAGGTGGGTCAGTATATTGGAAATGGAGAGTTAGACGCTGGGAATATTTTTCTTCTAGCATGCCCCAAGAACTGCACATAACATACCATACCATACTACATATACGCCACACTCATAAATAAATACAACACTTAATACCATCTCAGCTTCTTGCACATAGTGTATTGCCTGGCAAAACAGCAAAAATAGATTTCATATAAAATATTTTTTTTAAATAATTTGCACTCTTGTTCAATTCGCATAAAGGATGTTTAAAAATATACAAGAGATGTTAGTCTGATAAAAAGTATTAAAATTAGTTTTAAAAAGATTCTATTCTTTCCTTATAATAGAAGTTTCCTGATGTATTGTACACACTCATGCTTGTACTAAGCCACACTCATACTGGTGTACAGTTCTTGGGCATGGGACGAAGTTATTAAAATGTCTCTACACGATTCAGATCTAAAATAAGCGACATTTTAATCCAATATGAAGTAAACAACAGGGCATGGTATTTTTTTACGAAAATGGAAACTGGGAAAGTATACACATGATGTGCCATTTTATTTCAACAGACTTGAACACTGCCCTCAAAATTCATTATTGCAAAAACAAAAGTAGTGATAATTATTGTATTTAACATGTGTTGAAAATCTTATTAATTATAACTTGCATCGGTTTGTACTGGACGAGAGAAATCTTTATACCAGACTGAACTTCTTGTAGCATGAAAGATGTGACTCAGACATGTAATATGCATAATGACATTTAAGTCAGGTACAAGCTGCTTGGTTATGTTGAAAAATTTCATTAAAAATGTTTTTACAAAGAGTGAATGAAACCTGACCAGTTATGATGTAATGAATGTACACTTAAAAAATGCTACATCTATATTTTTATTTGAATGTGACAAAGTAACATAAAAAAACTATATAAAACAGTAAACAAATAATACTACAAAGAACTCTTTAAAAAGGAATTAAAAGTCTTAACATATCAAATTTTGTTTTGGCTAAAAAGTAGAGTTTCTAGACAGGTAGCCATATTTGATATTTTAGGATTCCTGCACTTGTTCTTTTTGTTCAACTTCTCCGTTGCTTGTTTTTTGACGTTTGACGAATTCTTCACCTTCCTGCAAGTAGAAAATAGAAATTGGTCATTATAATTATTTCACATTTCAAGATAAACTGATGTACCACCGGCAATATTTCAATGATCAAAAAATTTTTTAAATCAATTCTATTGGAGATGAGTTTCTTTCTAATAAGAGCATACATTTTAGTTTACAGAGGCCTAAAACAGTGGCAGATTTTAAATACATGAATACATTAGTGTATACAATTTAAAAAAAAAAAAAAAAAATAATCACCACCATACCAATAAATGCTTAAATTTGGTGAAATAGGATCGTTAATTATCAGAAAATGTCAGAATAGACCAATTACAAATTAATAGCATCTTAGAGGAAGACTTTAATAGATTACCTTAACTGTTTCTGCCATAGTATGGGTTCTTTTTAAAGCTTTTGCTTCTTCATCTTCTGCCTCAGCATCATCTTTCTTTTCTGCAGATGCATCAAATCCTTCTCTTTCTAAGAATGCTTTTCCCTCCTCCGCTGTGGCCACCATGGTACCAGTTCGTGTCACTGTTGGCTTCTCTTCTTCATTAGCGGCCGACTCATCTTTTTCTGCTTTTTCAGTTACATCAATAGCATCAGTAACAGCTTTAGTTTCTGACCGAGTCCCACTAATTACAACATCCCCAAGGAATTCTTTCCCTTCCTACAAAAATAAGTGAATTACATAATAAATTTCTACAAAAATGTTTACTACCTGATGTTTTGGGGATTGAATGATTTATGGGACAAAACGGACTGGCCATTTATTACGCCCAAGTCAGTTTTTGTATTTATAGCCATGGTATTTGTGATGTGTCGGGTTTGATATGGGTCCCCACAGCGACGGATATACAATGTGATTATAAAATATATTGACACCAGATTTGAACATGCGCTACGTGACAATCATAGGACTTTAATTCAAAGGAAGAAATTTCAAATGAACTACAAATTATTGATCTTTTTGGAAGACAAAGTCCCATCAAATAAATTAGTGAAAAACTGAACTTGAACTGGTTTCCACGGAAACAATGACTGAATTTCCCCATAGCATCAAAGCTCTACTGGTATTAAAATTGGTCAAAATATTCACAATACAGATTCAATAACTAATAAAACTACTGATTTTCAAAATCGCCAGTCACAGGGAATAATTCTGTATCAAATGTGTGTTGGCCACATCTATCTTTAAAAGCATTGCATTACTGTTGAATCAGTGAATGCGCAATATAGGAAAATCAAATCCTGATAATAAACCGTACCTTTGCCGTTTCAACCATTGTGGAATCTCTCTGTATTTTTGGTTTCTCCTCTTCTGTGATTTTCTCAATTTCTTTTTGTTGTCCCCTAGTTTTTGCACTTTCATCTGGTTTACCCTGGGTTTCAAGGAAAGCTTCTCCTTCCTGTAAGCAGAGAAATAACGAGATTAACAAAAATATACAAGATTGTGTTTACCAAACCAAGAACCATGTGGGAATGACCCAGTTACTGAAAACTATGTACATTTGTAGGATTATTGAATACCCAACCAAAATGACCATGTCAGCTTATTTTTCTCTTAGTGAGAACCGATTGGTGTTGAAATGGCTGACGCAGACAGCAAGAACTCAGTAGGATCAACTATCCTACAGCTTCATTTATCAAGATATTGCTGTGATGTGCTACATGTGGACACTTCCTTAAAGGGGCACTTCCAGTTAAGCCTAATCTCACAACAAATTTACTTTCTTGATTAAAGTTACAATGGATAACAAAAGATAGATTAACTTTGTAAACTTAAACAGTAGTGTCCCATCATTCTTTGGTGCAATCCCTGGGCTTGGAAGGTTCCCCTTTAAGGCAGTATGGAGGCATTCAAGTGTTGCATGGGGGTGCTGTTCATGAAGGTAAAACTGTTTGTGATGCCAATTTTAACATGTGATATATAGTGCTGTTCATGAAGTAGAGTCAGAAGAAGCAGCTTACAAGACTACCTGCTTGGCTATCGTCAGACTAATCAGCGAGCAGCTGACAGGGTTTTTTTTTTGCCTTGTATTTATGCTTAAACTCAACCGCTGAAATATGCTAACCAATCATACAATACATAATTTCCAGATGTAATAGACCTAGTAGAATAGATGTCAACTATTCCCGAGGGCGGAGCTATGTCACAGAACGCTCTATGTTGCTATGACGCGCACCACTGTACCATGTATTTCTATGGGGTTTACATGAGTTGCTGTGGAATGCCGGTCGAAGATCCGGTGAAAACAGCTACAGTCGAGAAGACAACACAAACTCAACTTTGAAGCAACAACAAAATTGATATACGTTGCATATGCAGGGATAATATTGTTACACTGTTCAGGAGGGTCTCAATAACTATCCCAAAGTGACATTTGCTGAGAGATTTTGGTCATTTTGTTTTCACCATGATGGATGCCAGGTGGTGAAACTCCACGGATGTTTGTTCCCGAGAATAGGAACAACTAAACTGATAGTAGTAAATTTGGTAGTGCACAGATAAATAAGCTTAGGACCCCTTGCAGTATACATTGGTGTTTACCGCATTTCAATTGTGCAATGAAGCAAATGTTCACTAAATTTTGCCTTGTGCGAAACACTCACGAATAAGCCCCGAAGTCACGAAGCATATTATCTTACAGTGGTGACCCAGATTTACATTTCTTAATATCAACACCAGCTGAAACAGCCATCTGACTGAGTTTCTGTCAATGATCACGTCTAAATAGTTGGCATACTTGTCCATTGGTCACTATGACAACATCAAACCCCACACAGTTCAATGCTTCATCCAAATGATTAGAGCTATTAAATCCATGCCGTTTAACCAGCTTGCACAACTGTTCATGCCAAAATATTGATTGTGATCAAAGTTTAGGATTTTTGACTAATTTAACTAACTACGTTGTTGTGACAAAATGAATAATCATAACTATTCAATAAATTAAATTAAATGAGGAGAGGAGAGGAGGAGGAGAGGAGAGGAGAGAATAACCCAAGTCTATTATTTGTATAATAAAGTCAATAGTCCATTAAAAATGTTACAATGTATCAAGTATTAATAGTACTGACATGAACTGCTCTTATCCTGCATAGCAGAAACATGTGTGATAATTTAGCATCTCTCAGTGGCAATGATATCTGGGCAGTAAGATTACTCTCGGTCATAAAATTTTAGTTTATAATATATATATTTAGCATATAGAAAAACAGATTTACATATCACTAACAGAAACACACAAAAACGCATTTATTATATGCTGAATTATAATATGAGGTTATTACGAGGATACACGAGTATGCACGAAGACAGAACAGCTGTATTATACATCTTTTCCTTTCAAGGATACATCATGGGAATGCTGAAATCCAAAATGCTTAGAACAGAATCAGCGAACTTCTTTGTGTGGAGTCTGGTCAAACCTTGATGGCAGCCATGTTTGTTTTTATTAGAGAACGCTTACGCGCGTAATCATTCCATATTTGGAATTCGCATTTACTAATATGGTAGGATGAAAACACCCCGCTAACTACTGCAAAATTACGACACGCTGTAACTTATGGCGTTACGGTGACAGATGTATAATAATAGTATTTATTTGCTTGTGCATCCAATAGAGTACATGTGTTTTAATAACAGTTTGACAAGATTTCAAGCAAGCATGTGCTTTTATTGAACCTGGCAGTGTACTGAGAAGGAGAACACAATTGCAAATTATTTTGTGGGATAAGCAGTGTTCCTTGTAAGCCGATGATTTGAAGTGGCACTGAACGAAGATTTGTGGTGACGCAATTAGGCGCGTTAATTCACTGGTGTATCATCAAGCTTTAAACTTTGTAATTTGGCGAGTGAAATTCATAGTTTTATAACACAAGTATAAAAATGAGGTAAATCAAAAGCTGCATTTTTTTGTTGCCCCCAGTTACCTATAAAGTCATACACAACTTTATTTGTTTTCTAGAAGGCTGACCACCCCAGCAGTCAACAAGTCGACTCGACTTGTATATGGAAATTTCATTATCACACAAGATTCCCAGTAAATCACCACTGTTAGCAGGCACATTGATAATTAACATGCAGATAACCTACCACAATAGCTTTGACTAACTAATTAAATGGTTTTAGGTACAAATGAGTTCTAGATTACGGATCACATAAAAAATTTAAGCTGCAGACTATGATCAAAATTAGGCATAAAATTCATCATGCCTGTTTATTTTGTAAGTTGTGAAAAATGTTGACATGCATTTTTGAGTAGAGCTGTGCATCTCCAATGGGTCAAAGGTCGCCATTAGGGTTTATAGTGTCCAGATGTTGAATGAAATGGCTGAATGTACAAGTTATTTTAGTATCTGCATCACATTCTGTTTAACCCTTTGAGCACCATCTACAAAATTATTTTGTAGTCTGCTCTGTTCCACATGATATATTAATAAAAATTTACAAACCTTTTGATCAAAAACTCAAAGCAATACCTTAAACTGTAAGGTGCAAAATTACATAACGAAATTTTGTGATATTTTTACAAAATGTGAAAATATTTGCACTGAATCTTGGACAGGAACTAGCAGCCTGTCGGCTGAGATAGCTCTGCTGTTATCAATGCACATTGCAATTAAAGAACAGAAGATATCATTCGAAAACTAGACTTTTTATAATTTTTTATCAAAAATATTCATTAAAATTAGATAATTGAAGAACAAAATCATCACGAAATGATCAAATCTGAGAGAGGTCCACATGTAGTACCTAGATATGTAGTATCAAAGCAATTGGACTTGCGGTTTTCAAGTAGTCGAAAATAGCATTTTTAACCAAAAAGGACAAAAAATATTCGCTATAAATAAGACAATTTAACATATCCACACGAAATGAACAAATCTGAGAGAGAACCACCCAAGGTACCTTCCTAGAAAGTTTCATGGCTATACAGTTTGTGGTTTTTAAGAAGAAGTCGAAAATGTAAAGTTGATGACAGCAACGACGAACTCCGGAGGACAATCAGTAGTACTATAAGCTGCGCTCGACTTCGTCGACGGCGGAGCTAAAAATATCTGGCATTTAAAGGCTAGAGCTAACTTTATATAACGCCATTTGTTCGACTACCAGAGAACCATTCTTTGCCGATAGCTCAAAATCATTTTTTAGGAGAAAATGTTATTTCTGTTCATTCTAAATCTCTCAAACACAATGGTGGCTTTACACAGAAATGCTACGCTTCCAAAAAACATAGTTTATTCTGTATTTGTTCTATTAGAAGCACATACACTCCAATAGAAATGTATAGATTAAAAATTTCATTTACTGTGATAGTCATTACACCTTTAAGTGCCAAGGTCAACTGTTTGCACTAAGATTTGACAGGAAAAATATGGCACTCAAAAGTTAAAACACTAGTTATGGAATCAGTACAAAATACTCACAATTCTCTTAAAGTTTTAATTTAACCAAATTCCGCATTTTGAGAAGAAAAAATAAATATACAGCATGTTAATTTTTCCAGCTACTTAGCTTGGAGAGCACACTGCATTTAACAATAGGTGATTTTCAGTTTACCTTGGTACGGACAGAAATGTCTGTGACAAAGATCAAACGATTTGATTCTGAATTTATGTTTCTGTTTTTCATAAGCTCAATATCGTAGTGGCGATCCTTGAGAGGAGAATATTGCATTGAGATACCATTACTTTATCGAAATTATGCATAGGACATTAAGCGTGGAAATACCCCCAAAATAGTTTACGTTTAACCAACCACTGCGCTATATTTGAAAACCACTGCGACCTTTGTTTGTCCCGTTTTTTTTGTCCAATTTTAATGCATAATACGGTATGTCTCTCAATCAATGGGAAAGTAATCTATTAGCATAATCTGTGTTTACATTTTGAGTGCTCATTTAACAATAACTTAAAAAAGCGAAATCAAGCCCTCTAACATTCTTCTGCACTTGTTGGAATAAAAACAGAAAATTATAATAATTCTCAAAGCATTATGATCTACTTACAAGAACCGGAATTTTATTATAGTTTTAATACTTATACTAGCTGCCATATACCATTGATAAAAGAATTAATTAAATACATCAAAACAGCATATACGACAAGAAAACAATATTATCAATGTTAAACAAAAACTCACGGAAATGTAATATTTTAATTTTTATCTTCAAGTACCAGTATATTTCTTTACTGTATCTTTATGATAAGTATAGTTTTAGTTTTTTAGAATAGTTTGTTATACCTTTATTACATTTGTATTCACCTAAATTGAAATTCTTTCAATATGGTTGTAATAAAGAATTATCTTATCTCATAGTGACTCTATCCAGTCGCTGACAACTCAGAAATAGGGAACTTAAGTTAAATTTGGTGTTTCTTCTCAGAGATGAATCAAACCGCA